GAAAATTTTTCCATTGGGAAGAAGAACTCTATACCCTTTGGTTGAGGGCTATAGCCCATGAAAGTGGAGGGGAGAGATCTGTTTTGTAGTTTATGTTTGTTAGTGGGTCTGAGATGAGGGTAACAAAGGCAACCGAAGACTCAAAGATGTTGGTAATCTGGGTTTCTTCCAGTAAAAGCATGAAATGCGGTGTCAAATTTCAAAGGTTTGCTGGGAAGTCTATTAATAATATACACAGTTGTTTCAAAAGAAAAATGCCAGAAATGTTTTGGCAAGTGAGCTGCATTTATCATGGAAAGGCCAAGTTCAACAATGTTTCTATGTTTCCTTCCAACTACTCTGTTTTGTTGAGGGGTGTAGGGGCAAGACATGCGGTGAAGAATCCCATTAGCAGTAAGGTATTTAGTTAAGGGCTTGAACTCAGTGCCACCATCAGATTGAAGAATTTTTAATTTTTTGTGGAACTGAGTTTCAATCACTTTGATGAACTGAGTGGTGATGGCATAAGTATCTGATTTGCTTTGAAGAAAAAATATCCAAGTAAATCTGGACTTGTGATCCACAAAATTGATGTAATAAGAGTGATTATGGTGAGATTTGATTGGGGCTGGGCCCCACAAATCAGTGTATATGAGGTCAAAGATATCATAATGATCAGAGGTTGAGTTAGTGAAAGATAGTTTATGACTTTTTGTCTCAGCACAAGGGGGACAGAAATCATTCATTTCATTCATAAGAACAGGTTCATTACAAGATTGCATCACCTTTCTAACAAGATCATAAGAAGCATGAGCTAATCTCTTGTGCCATAACTGAAACCTGTTTCTAACTTGCAAATCTGAAGTGCTAACATGGACACTAGTTTTATTTGAATGAAAAACAGCAGGGATAGCATGGTTCCTAGATGGTTGATGTATTGGTGTCTGATCTTCTAGAACACTTGAAATGTTGAAGGAGTAAAGGCCATTCTCTAGCTTTCCTTTAAGTAGCACTTCATTTGAATGTTGATCCTTCACAAGACAAAAGGATGGATGAAATTCAAAGAAAACATGATTATCCTTTGCAGATTGGGACACACTTATTAGATTTTTGGTAATGTGAGGGACATGTAGAAGGTTTTTGAGAAGAAAGTGACTGTTGGTATTGGCATTAGATTTAAAAGTAGAAGAACCAATATGAGAAATATTCAAACCTGAGCCATCTCCAATTTGCACTTTCTCATCACCATGGTAGGAAGAAGCAATGCTGAGATTTCCAAGATCATATGTGACATGGTTTGTGGCACCAGAATCTGGGAACGAGCAGGAAGGGTCTTGGTTTTGATCAATAACACTATTGGCAGTGTTCACTGAGGCATTGGATTGAACCTGGGCCATGTTCACATGGTTGGTGTATGAGTTGCTTGAAAATAATTAAGGTCTGCCTTGTAGAAACATTTTTCAGCTGTATGATTGTTTTTATGGCATATTTGGCAAGCAACTTTGTTAAAGAACCTGCCTCCTCTTCCCCTTCCAAATTAATCTCTTCCTCTATTTCCTCTACCATAGAAGGAGTTGTTGTTACCTCTGCCTCTGTTTCCTTGAAAGTTACCACTTTTCTTGCTTCCTTGGGTCAGGACATTGACATTTGGTGAGGCAGAATCAAGAACATTGGAGTAATTGGAGTCAAGGCTCTCCAACCTGCTCTCAAAACTAAGCAAAAGTGCATGAACTTCTCTCAATTTGTATGGTTCAGACCTTGCATTCACTGTAACCATTACTGAGTTGTAGTCAGTGCCCAAACCTGTTAGGATGTAAGAGATTTGCTCTTCCTCAGTGATTCTTTGCCCAGCAGCAGATAACATATCACAGCAGCCTTTATCTTGTTTAAGAAATCTCTCATAGGCATATCTCCCTTTTTGATGGTTTGCAGTTGGAGCCTATATTGCATAATCTTAGCTCGAGATTGTGAGGCAAAACTGATCCCTAAGGGTTCCCAAACTTCTCTAGATGTATTCAATCCCACAGTAGTGACCAAGATAGGTTCACTCAAAGATGATAGAATCCAAGAAAAAAGGAGCTAATGTTACCTTTTCCATTTGATGAACTATGGGTTGCTGATAATACCTGATTCTGAAGTGATGAACTGTTCTGGTATCCTGGCAGATCCATCAATGAATGATTCAATCCATTTTCCACCTCTTTTAATCAGCGTTAAGTCTAAAAAACAATAGGGGTTATAATGTATTTTCCACCTCTTTTAATCAACGTTGTTTTTTAGCAAAACATTAAATATAAGCTTGTTAGGGCTAGCTTGTAAAATAATTAAAATATTTTCTCACTAACACATTTATACTAATATAAATTTGATTTTAGTATATATATTTATTCCTTGATATAAGATAAAATAACAGTTTTACTTATTCTTGTTCACAGTAAAATAGTAAATTATTATTTTATTATAAACTTTGTTGTCATATAATCCCCTCTATATATATCATTTCAGAATGCGCTGAGCCTACGTATCAAACTCTCATGCTTCGGAAACCTATTTGGCAAAAACTCATGCTTTGGAGTTAGGCTTGGATATAAATTAATATTTATATTGACTGTATTTTAATATCGTTTCCTATTATAACCATTGAATTAATAATATATTTTAAAAGTTGATAATTTTTGTATTTCTTATCAGTATTACATATATAATATATCAAATTAATCATCTTTTGATGAACTTTGATTTGACATCCATATTGTATATATAAAATAAATAAATTATATTTATTTTTATAATAACAAAAAAATTATTTATTAAAATTAAGTAGAAATTGAAATTATTATCAATTAATATATTTATGTTTAATGTAGTTATATGTCATAAGATAGAAAATTTATTATAATATAACACATATAAGTCGCACAAGTAACATGTGTCATACTAAAATATATAATAATATATACTCCCTCCTATTTTGGTTATTTGTCACTTTGGCTTAATAGATCATTGATAAAATAAATGTCGTTTTAGATATTTTGTTCATATTTTTCCATCTAATTAAGTAAAAAATTAATCTATTAATTTAATATTAAATAAACATATTCTACATTTATGCATATACATATCACAATATTACTTCTATTTAGTTAAGATATATATTTTTGAACTTATGTAATAGTAAATAATATCGATATTTTTATATGATAGAAATAAAAAAATTCAACACGGGTTGACATTTTCATTTGATTAAGTAAAAAAGATAATCTATTTTGCTTAATATTAAATAAACATATTTTACACTTATGCATATACATATCACCATATTATTTCTATTTATTTAAGATATATAATTTTGTACTTATGTAATAATAAATAATATCGATATTTTTATTTGATATATGTAAAAAAAATTCAATACGGGTTTACATATTCATTTAATGTACGGGTGTTTAATTATTATGATCAAAAAAATATAATTTGATAATTTAATTAAAACCCAAAGTAATGTTTTATATAAAATTAAATTATTTTAGTTTTTATAAAAAATAAAAAATTTAATATTTTTTACAAAAGATTTATAATTCAACACCAGTGTAATGCACGGGTATTGTGCTAGTGTCATTATTATTTATAAAAGTTATAGAAGTTGTACGTCTTCTTGTTCTTTTTATTTTATGTAATAAAAATATTTAATGCACGTTAGTATTATTCATTTATTTAATCAATTTAAAATATGTAAATAAATTTAAAATTAAATAGTGTATAAATATTTTACAAAATGTACACACATGTTTTTTTAGAATTTAATTTTGTATACTAATTAAACAACTTTGATTTAACAAATTCCAAAAACTCAATGCCTTCTATAATCAAGATTTTTATAATTTGCATTATAAGGATTTATAGTTTATTTAGCATAGTCTGCAATGAAAATATATTTTACAAGAATTTCATTATAGAAAGAAATCAAGATAAAGAAAAATAATAATAAAAAAAATTCATGGTTGTCAATAATATACAAATAAATTCTAAAGAACAGTTAATATATTTCAATTTTAATTTTTTACCATTAGTAAAACTATTTAATGTATCTGGCCATTATCTCTTAAATAGTAAATTATATTAATTTGAAGAATTTATTTTTATATATATAAATAAATCTTAAGAAAATATTATACTGGCAAAGATTAATCAACCGACTTGATTTCGCCTGATTAATTGGAAGAATAACTTCTACCTAACCTGTTATGATTTTTTATAAATATTTTTGCGTAAAAAGTAAATATTTGTGAAAAATAAATAAATATTATGGTTAGAACTTAAAATACATAGTAATATTTATCTTGACTAAAATATTATCAACATGAATCACGAAAAGCCAATATTGTAATTTATTATAATGGATATCAATAAAATTATTGAAAATATTAATAAAATTATTTTAAGGAAACAATATTTTTTATCATATATGATTTGACCTTATTTGAAAACGTGTGTATAGAAGCAATTAATGCATATATTTAATAAGTTTCTAAAAAAGGTATGCATCAAATGCTCCCAAAATTTTTTACTACTATTTTTAGTAAATACTTATTTTTATTATATATATATATATATATATATATATATATATAGAAAATTTAAACATTTTGGCATGTGCACATAATCGAATATTTTATTAAATGTTGGACATTTTATTATTTAAGAGATTTTGGTATGTGGTGGTCTAAATTGGGTAGTAATATGGTCTTCTCTTCTTGTCTTGATACTAGAATTACGGCTCATACTTTCACAAGTTGGACCATTTTTCTTTAGTCATTTGGGTACAATAAAAGATACATACACCAATTAAGTCCATCAAAGGAAAAGTAAGGACCATTCATCAAAAGACTTGAGACCATTAATAAAATATGGATACATATGTAATCTATTGAGCTGTTTGAAGTGGAGGCCAAGAAACGAACCTCACACTAAAGCATAAAACCACCCTTACTACTCCCGAAAGTTAACACATTCACAAACACAAACAATTCAAAAGACTTTGGTTGTTTTGTCCTTATCTTGCAAAAATTAATTTGTGTATAATTGTGAAGTAGCCTGCCTAAATTTATCGATCAACAATGGAGGACGATGGTTTTCGGGAGATGAACAAGGCGGAAGTCGACACGCGGGCCCCATTTCGTTCGGTTAAAGAGGCAGTCATGTTGTTCGGGGACAGGGTTCTCGCTAGCGAGGTCTATGGGAGTAGGCTCAAACAGGTGACAACACCGCATTTTCTATTACACTATAATCTGGGCTTCATGGTCATCAAAGTTTTGCTAGTTTTGGCACAAAATATTTGTCTCATTATACTTTCGTGAAAAAATATTACACTTTTGTGTTTATATTATATTTTAAAATATGATATCTGAATATAATTAAAAATACGTATACATGTTGGAAAAATATGAATATCAAAATGTTAGCAGCCTAACAGAAGATAATTAATAGTACGCCTGACAGAAGACCTATGAAGACCTTAATCATTAAAATATTTGTTATAATCGATTGTGAAAAAACATGCAACTATTGGAATTCTCTTCAATGGCTAATTCAACCTTCTCGAAGAAGACTCATTTTTACACTTTGCTTGTTGTGTAGGGATGCCAATACGAATCAATCACACACACAAACTTGTTACACTATTTATTTTCTTCACTTTGGCTTTAGAAATGAAAATATGAGAGTACACAGTCGAATCATAAAGAAAAAGACGATTAATTGTTCTCAAATTGGTCAATTATAAATTATACTGAACTACTATTCATGTTTTAGATATACAAATAGAACTACTTCTTATACATCCTCAATGTTACATATTTACTTTCAAAATTAATATTCTGTTTGCACTTTGCAGGGTAAAAATTCAATTTTGGTCCGCTAACTTGTCCATTTTCTACTTTTGGTACAATATCTTTCCCCTCATCAAAAATAGTCCGTTATGTTACATTTTTCATCAGTTTTAGTACGCTACTCCAGTTGGCGGGATTACAAGATGACGTGGACCAGGATTGGAACTACGTGGAGAGATAAGATACTGACGTGGTAGAATAAAAACCTGATTTGGCATCTCGTAATCCCGGGCCGCAAGATTAGTGTACTAAAACTGATGAAAAGTGTAACATAACGGACCATTTTTTATGAGGGGAAAGATAGTATACCAAAAGTGGAAAATTGACAAGTTAGCGGACCAAAAATGGATTTTTGCCCACTTTGCAGCGTACTGATTAATTATTCCTTACTTACCGACCATCTAAATTTTTTGTATTAAACAAATGTGAAGCTCGACGAGTTAGAAGAAGCAAAACAAAGCCTTCGAAAAGCACGTGAGGAAAGCATGCAAATGGCAACAACACTCTTTTTTTTACAACAAGAGCTCGAGCGGACCAAAATCGAGATCCAACAATTGAAGACATGTGAATTATGGGACAATATTAATAAAAATCGACACATGCATCGGATGGAGTTGGATCCGGACTTGTTAGAAGAAGTCAAATTTGTTGAAGAAGACACAAATACCGGACTTATGATAACAGAGACCGATCATCGGATGATCATCGACAGTTGTGATCATAATTATAAATCCGAATCGCAAAGGAAAAAATATGTGAGATTTGCTAATCCTCCTTGCGTGGCTCAAATAGTTTTGCCGAATGGTGATGAGAGTGTACTCCAAAGACAAACCTCTCTCAAGAAGAAGAAAAAGAATAAGCAAGTTGTTGAGATTATTAGGGGTGTTTTCTCTAAGAAGAGTGTGAAATCTGAAGTTGCCTTTGCATGAAGTTTGGATTGGATCTTGCTGAAAAAATTTAAAAAAAAAAATAAAGTTATAAAGAATATTGTGTGAATTGTGGATTGTGCCAAAGCGTTCATAATTAATGACAAAACTAGTACAACACCCGTGTATTACACGGGTGCTTGTTAAAAAAATATTCTTAAATTATAAAATTAATGAGAAAATTATTTTAAATTTTATTTATTTTTTTACAAAAAAATATATATTATTATATATGTTATAATGACACTTGTTACTTGTGACTTACATGTGTTATATTATAGTAATTTTATAACTTATATCATATAACTACTTGAAATATAAATATATTAATTGATAAATAATTATATTTTTTTTATTAATATTAAAAAACAATTTTATTATTGTTATAAAGATAAATATAATTTATTTTTTTTATACATACAATATGGATGTTAAATCGAAGTTCATCAAGAGATGATTAATTTGATATATTATATATGTAAAACTGATAAAAAATACAAAAGTTATTAACTTTTAAAATACATTTACAATTCAATTGTTACAATAAGAAATGATATTAAAATGCAATTAATGCATGTAACATGACCATAAATAATCAACATATGTATGGTAATTCAGACGTAATTAGTTTTGGATTGGAATTAAATTAAAATCTACCCAAGCCTAATAACAAAACATGTAATTTTGCCACATAATATTCCAAAACATGCGAGCCTGTCACTTAAGCTCAACGCATTCTAAATTAATATATAGGGGAGATTTCATTTTTGCATTCTAAATTAATATATAGGGGAGATTTCATTTTATTAAAAAGTTTATGGCATATGTATATGCATGTGTGATATATGTCTTTTCAATAAGTTTTGTAACTGATCATACCTGTAACTGTCAAAGAATGCTTATTTTCTTGATTGTTACTTTCTAATTCCTCTTGTTTTCTCAGTTCATATCCAAGAGATTGATATATACATGAAACATAAAAAGCCAGAAAAAGGAAAAGAGAGAAAGAGTGAAATGGCATTAAATCCCATATTTAATAAATATCATGAATTTTACATGCAAAAGTAGAATAAAAGAACTTCATCAATAATTATGTTCTCACCCGTGGATCTCCTATGTTGAACACAATTAAAAACACCACCAATTAAAAGAACAAAGAACAACATTAAAAACAACCCACCCCATATATAATTAAAGAAACCATGTACATAATTGGGTTAAATTTAACCAAAATATTGAGCTTAATGATGAATCAGATTCTCTTGGCACCATATACACCAATCTATTGTTAGTCCTGGATCGGTGCTGCCAGCTTTTGTTCACAGCTTAGATGCTATGTTTGCAGCTGGGCTGCACTGTTCGGGTAAGCAAAAATGCTTCCCGGCACAAACTGACACTTTTAGGATAGAAGAAGAAGATTTTGAACAACTCAATGTATTGAGTATTCAGTTTTTCTATGTTATGTTTACAAAGAAAACTGCATCCCTATTTATAAGAACTAAAAACAACTATTCTAGTGGCTTTCCAAGAAATTTCTTAAGCTGAAAAATCAGCCTAAAGTAGCCGCCATGAAAGTGCTATAAAAGTGCAATGAAAGTGCAAGGAAGTTGCACTTCACTAACAAGGAAACTGCAGGATTATATCTTACAATTCTTCCCCTAATCCTGCTGCTCTTGCTTATTTCCTATCATTTCAATCTTGGTCCTCAGCTCCATGAATTGAAGACGGCCGAGTGGCTTGGTAAGGATGTCTGCGAGCTGCCGTCCGGATTCGACAAACTCCAAAACAATCTGTCCTTCATCGACACAATCACGGATGAAGTGAAAGCGGGTATCGATGTGCTTGCTCCGGTCATGGAGGACTGGATTTTTTGCAAGGGCAATGGCGGGCTGGTTGTCCACCATCAGAGCTGGTGGACGAGCTTCCTCGCCGGTCAGCTCGCCCAGCAACCGACGCAGCCAAACCGCCTGGCAAGCTGCTGTGGCTGCCGCCACGTACCAGTTGTTAGTCCTGGATCGCTGCTGCCAGCTTTTGTTCACAACTTGGCTGCTTTGTTTGCAGCTGGGATGCACTGTTCGGGTAAGAAAAAATGCTTCCATTGCTGCACAGTCCTCTTCTTCATCCTCGGTGCCTTCTTCGATGGCCCGCCAAAGCTTGCGCACACGCAACTTGACCTTCATCAGCATCGCCCACTCGTCGTAGTTTGTGCGTGTGAGGACCGGCCAGTTGGCCCCGCCAACGTCCCGCACGGTCCTGTGGATGATGACCTCTTGGCGCGGTGAAGCATCTGCTCCGCTCCCTTGCACCATCGACGTAGCATCTTGGCTTGCCATGGCTCTGCCAGTTGTTAGTCCTGGATCGCTGCTGCCAGCTTTTGTTCACAGCTTGGCTGCTCTATTTGCAGCTGGGCTGCACTGTTCGGGTAAGAAAAAATGCTTCCCGGCACAAACTGACACCATTAGGATAGAAGAAGAAGATTTTGAACAACTCAATGTATTGAGTATTCAATTTTTATGTGTTATGTTTATAAATAAAACTGCATCCCTATTTATAAGAACTAAAAACAACTATTCTAGTGGCTCCCTTGCACCATCCGAACAAGGAAACTGCAAGATTATATCTTACATCTATGAGGACTTGTTGAAAAACTCTATGCAATCCTCAATTGCTTCCTTATGATGCGAATCTGAGGAATAATAATAATAATAATAATAATAATAATAATAATAATAATAATAATAATTATAGGAACTGTTTGAAGCCATTTATTAAATTATTAAGCCAAATATTGTTTAATAGGCACACAAATAAGTTATGGGCAAATATTTGAATATTTAAGGAATTATGATTAAAGCTGGGTAGATATTTGCAGGGGTTGCAATTGATGGTTTGATATTTGTTCTTCTCCTTCCGAGACTTAGAAAACTTTTATAACAGTCATACAATCAGCAATTTACTTCACTTCGAAGGTCAGTTTTGTGCGTCTCCAACTTTTTGGTCAATCGTAGCTGAAAGAAAAAAAAAAAAAATATAAACTTTCATTTCAACTTTTCTAGAACACTCCTAAAAAATAATAAATTATCGATTAGTTAGTTTCTTGATATTTACGTAGTAATAGTTTTAACTGGTGAATGATCAATGATGATACCGTATGTATTCTATAATAAGAAAGCCTTTTCATAATCTTTTTCTTTTGGGTCTTGCTAAAGGAATCTCAAACAAGTATACTCAGCAACTAATAAGTAATGCTTCTTGTCAATAATATTCCTCGCAAGAGTTTGTGAGTAAACCTAACTCTTATTATACCTGAGCCAACTAACAGTAACGTATATTTGACTATCATACTTTGTGGAAAAAAAAAAATGGTCCTGATTTGTTTTCAATAGTCCTCACAAACTCTTGTGAGGCAATATCTATATATATATATAATAAGAATTACCATTTACTAAAAATAGTAGCCAAAAATTTAGGAAACATTTAATGCATGCCATTTTTTGAAACTTTTTAAATATATACATTAATTGCTTACATATACACATTTTCAAATAAGATATGATCAAAAAATTAAATAAATTTATTAATATCTACAATATTTTCATTGATATTTATTATAATAAATTACAAGATTGATTTCCATGATCCATGTTAATAATTTTTTGGTCAAGATAAATATTATTTTGTTAATATTTGTAATACTTTTATTGATATTCATTATAATAAATTACAAGATTGATTTTCATGATCCATGTTGATAATATTTTGGTCAAGATAAATATTACACCATATTTTAAGTTCTAACCATAATATAATTTTTATTTTCACAAATATTCACTTTATATACAAAAATATTTATGAAAAATCGTACATGTTAGGTAGAATTGTTTTTCCAAGTAATCTGACAAAATTAAGTTGGTGAATTAATCTTTGCCAATATATTTTTTTCTTACGCTTTATTTTATTAAATATAAAAAATAAATTGTTCTTCAAATTAATATAATTTACCATTTAAGAGATAATGACCATATACATTAAATAGTTTTATTAATGGTAAAAAATTAAAATTGAAATATATTAACTATTTTTTAGAATTTATTTGTATATTATTGGCACCTTTTTTTTTTATTTTGATTTATTTCTATAATTAAATTCTTGTAAAATAAATTTTCATTGCAGAGTATGTTAAATAAACTATAAATCCTTATAATGCGAATTAGAAAAATCTTGATCATAGAAGAGATTGAGTTTTTGGAATTTTTTAAATCAAATTTGTTTTATTAGTATACAATATTAAATTCTAAAAAAACATGTGTATATTTTGTAAAATATTTACACACTATTTAATTTTAAATGTAAATATTCATTACATAAATAAAAAGAAAAAGAAGACGTACAGCTTCCATAACTTTATAAATAATAATGACATTATATGAAAACAAAGTTTATACAAAAATAATAATTAAGTATTATATGGTGAACAAGAATAAGTAAAATTGTTATTCTCTCTTGTATCAAGGAATAAATATATATATACTAAAATCAAATTTATATTAGTATAAATGTATTAGTGAGATAATATATTAATTATTTTACTACACTTAACGCTCATTAAGAGAGGTGGGAAATATATGATAACCCTATTGCTTTATATATTTAAACGGACAAAGACTGTAAAAATAACTCATTTAATATGGATGTCCCGTGCATCGCACGGGGTATGTACTAGTCACTCTTAAACTCATTTATGAGTCCACCCTTTAAGCGGTTTGACTGACCATTTACTATACATAAAAATGCATTTTTATCGTACTCTAAAATGTCATAATTTTGTTTATGTTGTTTTTTCAAAAATATCATTGACTAGACTTTCCTGACGTATTTGTAGAGATAAATGCACACCACCACAACAGAATAGAAAGGTGAAATTGAGTGTTCCTGCAAATTCTTACAAGAAAAAATTGATTCCCAACTTGCAGCTGCAATTTTGATTACCGTACCAAGTGTTCTTACAGAATTTGTTAAATCCAAAAACGAAAACCTTCGAACAGAGATAATTTACCAGCCGAGTAGTAAATGACTTCTGTAATAATACAAAACCATCTCATGAACCTCGCATTCTGCATTCCAACCTTAGAATGCGACATGGAAAATTCTCTAGGGCTGAAAAAAAATTACTTAAACCCCAAATTTTGTTGCACATTCTAAACATGATACACAAACTCATGATGAAGTTTTCTCGAGGATAACGCACCAGTTTGATTTGTCGTAAAATCTGTCCACAATGACAGCACCATCAACGCCACTCACCAACCTGAATATAGTAAAGCAAGAAAACTTTTGTTATGGCAAGAAACTTAGTGTGGATGATAAAGGATCACTTTTGCATGGGTTTGCAAATCATCTAAAATATGAGAAATTTTGTTCAGTTTCTCAACAATGAACAAATACATTCTCTAATCCCAAAACATATGTCACCAAATACAAATATCTCAAGGAGAAGGGCTTTTGAGCACACGAAAAATGCAAACTGAAAGGCTCATTTACACTGTAGAGCTCAATACCAAGTACTAGAAGTTTCGGCACAAAAATATTACTTGTGAAACAACCAACAGCAACTATAAAAATATCCACCATATTCCCATCACATAAATAGTAAAATAATTCAAACGATGTGCCAATGCGAATGTGACATGAAAACCTACCCACTAAAGGATAACAGAAAATCAACTCAACAAGATTAAATGCCAAAGAAAAGGAAAAAGAAAGATAATAAATAAACAAATTAAAAAATTAGAGTAAAGAAAAAAGAGAAACTGCACCTTTCAAGTTCACCTTCACTAAAAACATGATAATATCTGTCGTACACAACAGCCCCCTTCTTATCATCCTTCCTCGCCAGCCCACTGGCCACAGCACTAACAGAAACCCCACTTACCTCTGCTCGATGATAAGGCAAATGCCACGGCACAAAATATTCCTGCTGAGACGAAACAACAGCTTCCTCACTTTCCGGAATACTTTCCAAAGAAACCGAACCCAACGGGCTCCTCACCCGCGGGCTTCCAGGCCCAGGCCCAATCCACTCCTCCACATACTTCTGATTCAGAGGAGTCCATTTATTAATCAGGGCTTTATCCTCTTGTTCCCTGGCCCAAACTGTGATCAAGACAAGCCCGCCTGTTTTCACGGCCCGAATCAACTCCTCAACAGCTCCTTTCCTTCGGGCTTCTGTGCTGAGGTGGTGCAGAACAGCTATGGAGATGGCGGCATCACCGTAGCCCGTTCGGTAAGGAAGATTGACTGCATCGGCCACTAGGACTTCGTGCCCTTTTTCCGAGCATATGTTGACGAGGGGCCCACTGATGTCACACCCGACGAAAAAGCAGTTTGGGTTCAAGCCCAAGTATTTCCCGTTCCCACAGCCAGAGTCGAGTACGAGTGATCCTGAGGGGAGGGAGTTTAAGAAAGCTTGGACTTTGGGCCATTTGGCAAAACGAGTGGAACTGAAGTGGGGGGCGATTGCGTCATATACGCGGTGGACGTATTTTTTCTCGATTTCGGGAGTTGCTGCTTGGGGTTTGGAGGGTGGGGGTTGTTTCGGGGTGGTTCTTGTGGCTATGGGGGGTAAAATGGGCAATTCGTCTGTTTCTTTTGTGTCTTTCATGATGGATAGTCGTCTGGAATGGGTGGGCTGAATTCCTCTGGTGATGGGACGTCTAAGGAGAGACATTCGGAAATGCCATCATATGTGGAGAGGATCTGTTATCAAAGAGAATGAAGAGAAAATTTCGACTCAGCACAAACTAAGAACGATGTTAGTGATAATGAGATGGAATTTTGCCGGTTTGTAACTTGTTTCTTCTTTTGAATTGAGTTTTCTTCGGTACTTTCTCGACTCTTTAATGTGCGAGGCATCTAGGTGAAGATGGTAAAATTTGGTTTTGTTCAAATGGAGGTCGGTTTACCCATATCTTTGTAAATAATGGAAACAATAATTACAAATTTCGGCACAATCTTCCCTTAAACAATACCTGAAATTAATCCATATTTAAAATCCCAAGTACAAAGATGATGTAAATGGAGAACTTGCTTAGGCATTTCTTCTGTAGAATGGAATTGAAAGACTGTGTATTCTAACTTTTCGAAAGTAAGACCAATGCATGAAACTAGTATGCCCGAACCAGAAAAAGTCAGCATAAATTGACATAAAGAAAAATCAAATCTATTTCGGTAATGGCAACAGATTACATGCTACATATATTATGAGGTAACCAAAAAATTTCTGTTGGACATCATAAGCTGAAGCCTGAAAAGCTCAGGAATTAGAAAATAGATTCACTCAACTAACATAATAAATTCTCCTAAGGTCTTTACAAGTTTGTAATTTGAACTATTTTCACTCGAGGAGCTTTTTCGAAATCACGGTGATTCGTTTTACATTTTGGCCTAATATCGAAAACAATTACAGTTTTCGAGTTCCAAAATCTGAAAATAGATTAAAACTCACGCAATCCATATTCCTTACTCTTAATGAATATTGAATTATCAATCTCAATCAATTGAACTTCTATATATCTGCAAAAATTCCACAAACCAAAAACGTGCTCCTCACAAGATTCAATCTTCAAGACAACGAGATTTCTACTTGTATGTATTATGGAAACGGAAAGAGGAAAATAAATAAATGCAAAAAACAGTATAAAATTCAAAATAGAGAACTTACAATTAAAGCAAAAGCAGACTGAAAGAAAGAGGTTTGATTGCAGCAGGTTGTGAGCCTCGCTGGTTGAAAGTTGAAACACAGAAGAGCAAAGAGGAGAAACAGAGATTTCTGACGTTGTATTCCTGTTTGGTTTGGGCTTTAATATGCAAAATATGCCGACCAGGTCCAAGTCACGTAGCCCAAGTTTCTGGCCCAGTAGTTCGATGAGCTTCTCGACCCAAATACATACCACGTGTCATCATTGTCAGCAAAAAATGCCAAGGATATGCCGGGAAAATATTAAAACTAGTTCCGTAAGATAAATATTAATATATTTACATTGCTCATTTAATATATACTGTCTCTATTTTACTAGTCACCGTCCTCTTTTTATTCTTTTATCCTTAATCCTTTTTCTCACTCTATCTCTCTAAACTCTCGAACTTTGAACGAGCGATTCGAGCACCGAAAAAATCCGAAAAAATATCTAAAAAATTCCACGACATGGGCAAAGCATACTTCTCTAGCCAGGTACTTTTTTTTTACACAACAAATAATTTTTAATTTTTTTTTATTCTGAACCGGCGTTCGGCCGTC